CCGGAAGCTGCAACGAGCCCCTGATCCCGAGAATCCTTAGCCCTGCACATGCCCTGAACCCTAAGTTTAGGGTTTGGGGTTTAGGGCTTTGGGTTTAGGGTTTAGGTTTTAGGGTTTGGGGTTTAGGGCTTCGAGTTTAGGGTTTAGGGTTCAGGGTTGGGGTTTAGGGCTTTGGGTTTAGGGTTTAGGTTGTAGGGTTTGGGGTTTAGGGTTTGGGATTTAGGGGTTAGGGCCTATAAGAGCCTTAATGGTTACCTATACCATTTTGCGGGCTCCTTATTGTAATTATAGTATAATGTGCCAGAAAACCCTAAAGGCCCCTACCTGAAACCCTAAATCCTAAACCCAAACCCCCAGCCGGGGTGCGTGCTCAACCGAGCTTTGCGACTTCTTGAAGCAACAAGCCCGACTCGATTCTTTCATGATGCAGCAAGGGCGGTCAGCACCAAGCCAGACAGCACCGGAGAATTAATGCAGAGGTTTGAATAACTTGTAGTAAGATCCCTTTATGGAAATATAGTCCCTACATGGCCAGACTGACATGTTTGCCCGCTTGCCCTTGTCCACAACAAACTGGATTCTAATCATTCAGGCCCTCGTCTTCGTCCTAAAGCGGCCCAAGGGTTGTTTCAGATCCTAAACTCAAAACCCGAAGCGTTGAGGCACTTGCCCCCTGTAGCCCTAAACTTCAACCCTAAACCCATACCCTAAACCCTAAACCGTCAACCCTAAACCCTAAACCCTAAACCCTAAAACCCTAAACCAAAACCCTAAACCAAAACCCTAAACTTTTAAAGTGCTGATGCTGGCACCGTCCTTTCAGGTGCCTTCGTTGTCTGTTGCGCCTAAGATAGGGGCCTTAATAATTACCTATACTATTTTGGGGCCTCTGTCCTATATATAATACAGTATACTACACACCAAAGCCTTATTCTAATTATTAAGGCCCTTAAACCCTAAACCCTTATAGTAGGCCTTATAAAACCTTTTAAGGAACCCTTAAACGAACCGTATTCTAATTATCAAGGCCCCTTACATTAGGACTCTATCGTGCGCCGTCACACTTCCTAGACGGAAAGCTCTAACCCCTAAGCTCTAACCCTGCCTAAGAACAGAACCGAGGTCCCTATGGTTCGGTTTGGGGTTCAGGGGTTTAGGGGTTTAGGGGTTCAGGGTTTAGGGTTTAGAGTTCAGGGTTTAGGGGTTTAGGGTTTAGGGTTCCGGAATCCCTATAGACCCTAAATCCTAAACACCACCTGAACCCTAAAGAACCTACCTTTTTAGGGTTCCTTGTTATAATTTCTTTATGTACAGTCCTTAGAAAGGTAGGTTAATTTGGGGTTAACGTAAACCCTACAACGGGAAGTACGAGCTCAAGACCCCATGGAACACTACTGGGGCTCTCAGGATGGATGATTGAATATGTTACCCCAAACCCGAAACCCTAAACTCCAAACCCTTAACACTAAGCCCGAAATCGAAATCTTAAACCCTAAACCCTAAACCCCAAACCCTAAACCCTAAACCCCAAACCCTAAACCCTAAACTCCAAGCCCTAGACCCTAAGCCCGAAATCTTAAACACCCAAGGCCCTAAACCCCAAACCCTAAACCCTAAACCCCAAGCCCTAAACACTAAGCCCGAAATCTTAAACACCCAAGGCCCTAAACCGCAAATCCTAAACCCTAAACCCCAAACCCTAAACCCCAAACCCTAAACCCTAAACCCCAAACCAAAACACCCCAAGGCCCAGCTTTCTTAAGGATCCTTGCTGAACCGCCTCGCAGCATCCTGCGAGGAGCGGCCGTCAAGCCGGACACCATCGCTCTTCGGTCTAAACGTTAGGGTATAGGGTTTAGGGTTTAGGGTCTTGGGTCTTAGGGTTTAGGGTTTAGGGTTTAGGGTCTAAGCCGGACACCATCGCTCTTGGGTCTAAAAGTTTTACTGGGGTTTGGGCTTTTAGGGTTTAGGGTTTAGGGTTTAGGGGTTTTACTGGGGTTTGGGCGTTTAGGTTTTGGGGGTTAGGGTGCTAGGGTCTGGGGTTTTAGGCTGTGGGGGTTATGATCAGAGTTGAAAACCTGTTGTTTTAAGGGTTTGGGGCTTTAGGGTCCCCTTAAAGATTGCTAGAACAACCCTCAACCCTAAACCCTAAAACCCTATAAGCCCTAAACCCAAAATTAGAACGGTTCAGGGCTTGAGTTCTTCGACCAAACAGTTTCGGCTCTTGATGTTTATGAAGGAACCCTGTACGGCTTAAAAACCTTTTTGAAAAAACCCTTAACCCTCAAGGTGTTGAAAGGGTTCCATACTACGTAGGGCCGTTAGGGTTGGGAGGGTGGGGGTTGCTGGGCTTTCTGGTTAGAGTTTAGGGTTTGGGGTCTGCAACACTAGAAATAATTCGTAATCACAGTCGCTCTGCAGTTAAGGAAAAATGTAGCCCAAGCCCCTTTCACAGAACCCCTAAACCGTAAACCCTTGTAAGGAACACATTAGGGAAGCCCTTCCTCTGCACCCGATACAACCCCATAAAGACCTTATAGGGTTTAGGGTTTAGGGTACAGCTTTGCAAGACGAAATCAGAACCTGCTCAAACATCTGGAAAGCCTGCTGAGGGATGTGTAAACCCCAAACCCTCAACGGCCCTAAACCCTAAGCGCCTACACCCAAAACTCAAAGCCCTAAACCGTGCACCCTAAAAGGCCCGAAACTCTAGACGCTCAGACCCTAAACTCCCAAAGCTGAAAGCCTGTTCGTCCAGAAATTTAACTTTCGGTTCTTAAATGTCAAGGAAGACGTCCTATGGAAGAGGCGATGAGTTTGGAAGACGGTGGAGATCGAGGGATGGACAAAGGCTGTCAATTGTCCCAATTGGTCTTTGGGGTCACTTCCAGATCGAACTTCCAGCACGTAACTAGAAGAAGATGCCCCCCAGAACTGGCGGGGGTGGCCTGCCCATGCGCAGGAGGTGGCACCGCCAGCCTTTTCACGGTGGGTCGAAAAGGCGCCAGATCCCAAGGTCAAGAAGATGCCCCAAGGCCCCATGGTCAAGAAGAGGCCCCAAGTGCCAAAGGTGAAGCCGATGCCCAGAGGATTTGTTGGAGGGCGGAAGGTGGCCAAGGTCCACTTCTGTCGGGTGGAGCAGCTCCCCAGCACCCTCTTGGCACACACATCAAAGTCGCCACTGAACCCTGAGCTGGCTGGACCATCCCAGATTGATGCTTGTGCTTGTGGCGCGAACGTTCCGACCCAAACCTTCCGTGTGTCCCTTAAGGGCGAAATGATCCCTAAAAGGGTTTAGGGTTCATATACCATATAGGGATTCATAGTATCAGAGTATAGGGCCCCTACTGTTAGGGTTTAGGGCTAAGGGTTTAGGGTGTAGGCTGAATTGTATGAGGGGCTTCTTTGGATCTTGGTGAGTGGGGATATGTTGGTGTCAATTCGGGATACCCTACACTTTACAGCTTTAAGCCTGAACCCTAAACCCTGAAAGCCAGCCCCCGTATTTAGGGTTTACGGTTCGGGTTTAGGGTTTAGGGTTTAGGGTTTAGGGTTTAGGGTTTGGGGGTTTAGGGTTTAGGGTTCAGGGCTTTGGGCTTAGGGTTCCGGCTTTAGGCTTTAGGGTTCCTGCCTCTCTGCCTAGGTGATGACTTCCTGCACTGGTGCCAGCTACAAAGCAGCGCACTGGGCCCAGGCCTCTCGATTCGAGGATTTTCGACCCAAAACCTTAAACCCTAATCATTTAAGTCGTCTTAAATCCTAAACCCTAAACCCTAAACCTTAAACCCTATTCATTTAAGTCGTCTTAAATCCTAAACCCTGAACCCTAAACCCCAAGAAAATAAACCCTAAATCATGTAAATCCTAAATCCGCAGCCCTAAACCCGAAACCCTAAACTCCAAAAACTAAACGCTAAATCACTGAAATCTTAAATCCTAGAGAGTCCACGCAAGACGCTTTCCGTCCTAGGACTTCGTGATGCTTTTGGAATTCCAAGCCCAAGGCGCGGGAGGTGCGAGAAAGCGCCGTACCACTGAGAAGGAGGCAGACTTCGCTTGGGTGATGGTGCCGTCGCCGTCGCCTTTGGAGGGCGACCCGTCCCAGATCAAAGCGCTGTCCCTCAAGAGCATTGACGTGCCGAAGTGGCTGGACACCCTCGCCTCCAAGCAGTTGGAGAACTTCATCAACTACAACAAGGAGCGTGCCAAGACTGTGCGCCTAGCCCCTAAACCCTAAGTCCTAAACCCTAAACCCTAACGTGGAGGTCATCAAGGAGTTTCAAGCCTTTACCGCACCCAGACAGCAGAAGTGAGCACACCCGTTCCCTAAACCCCGCCCCCTAAAAAGGAACGCCTCCGTTCACTTTGACCCTTCCCTTCTAAAACAAAAGGAAAAATAGAAGTGAACGCACCCGTTCCCTAAGCCCGACCTCCGCAACCCTCAACTCTGCACCCAAAGTCCCGACTCCTAAACCCTAGCCTTATCATGTAGGAACCTGATTTAATAAACCCTGGCCCTATAACCCCAATATAATATAGTAGGATGCATCTTCAAAACCCTAATAAACCCTAAACCCTAAACCCTAAACCCTAAACCCTAAACCCTAAACCCTAAACCCTAAACCCTACAGGCCCAGGGTTTCTTAATCAGGTTCCTTACATGAAGGGCAGACCCTCTCAGCGCTAAGTCCTTTCAGTTTTTGTGGCCGCGAAACACAGCATGCGCCCTCGAAAGTGCTGCAAACCATCACCGTCACCACCGCCAGTACCCACTCAATGCAAGGTTATTGGGGTTTAGGGTTTAGGGTTTAGGGTTGAGGGCGCTAAACCCTAAACCCCTACGGTTGCAGAGAATAGGGGGCCTTGAATCTTAAGACCCTTATGAGGAGGACCCCTAGACACCGCCTTCCCTACTTGTTTGGTTGATCCCCTAAACCCCAAACCCCTAGTGTAGGAACCTTTTGGTTGATCCCCTAAACCCCAAACCCCTACTGTAGGAACCAGATGAAGGAACCCTGGTCCTACAACCCCAAAGTATTTGGATCCATATAGGTAGTTGTCAAAATTATGGTCCCTTCTGGGGTACCCTAAATCATAGGTGCGTATTCGAATAAGGACCCAAAAAGGGACCATAAGATTGACAACCACCCATATAAAGAAGCCTAGTAAAGACCCAAGTTTTCTTAATCAGGTTCCTATATCAAACCTAAACCCTCAACCCCTAAACCCTAAACCCTAAACCCCTAAACCCCTAAACCCCTAAACCCCTAAACCCCTAAACCCCTAAACCCTTAAACCCCTACGTCCCTAAACCCTAAACCCCTAAACCCCTAAACCCCTAAAACCCCTAAACCTCCGAAACCCCTAAACCCTGACAATTGTTCAGCCCCCCCTGGTCAGGCGGTTCACCTCTTCAGCTGCATGGACTCCGTCAGTTTGACACCAGATGCTGGGTTCTCAAACAGGGACCCCAAAAGGACATAAGCGTAAGCACTTTCTAGGGATATCCCTACCTTATTGGGCTTCATTATGAGGGGATTTATATGGGAGAACCTTAGCTAATTTTTGCTTATGTGCTTTTTTGGGGCCCTACTCAAGCATTCGAGGTCGCCTCGTTTCCAAGCGTCCGTCGAGGGTTCAGGGTTCAGGGTTTTGGGGTTTAGGCTTCAACATAGGGGCCCTAAAAATTCCGATGCTATTTTGGGGTTTTCTTGATTACAGTTTTGGAAGCATGTACCCCAAAACCCTATTCTAATTATTACGGCCTCTATATGGGTAGTTGTCAAAATTATGGTCCCTTTTGGGGTACCCTAAACAATAGGTGCCGTATTATAATAAGGACCCAAAGAGGGACCCTAATTTTGACAAGCACCTATATGTTTTAGGGTTTAATGTTGGAGATCTAAACTCAAATTTTCGATTGGGCTGTCAACGGCTTGTCTAGGTCGGGTCTCTTGATCCTGACATGGGTACTTGCTTCATTGGCTTTTGAAAGAGCTCGACAACCGTCACATAACCTTAAATAAGTGTCCCCAACCCTAAACCCTAAACCCTAAACCCTAAACCCTAAACCCTAAACCTTAAATAAGTGAAGCCTCCACCCTAGACCCCAATCCAAGGTTTCATGAGCGCTCTCCCACAGGATTGCGAAAGATCTACGGGCTCGGTCTTGCATTTCGAGTCGAGATTGTCGCTGTGTGGAAGGCTTCTATGTTTTGGGGTGTAGTTCAGGGCTTAGGGTTTAGGTAGGGTTTAGGTCTTTAGGGCTTTAGGGTTTAAGGCTTGAGGGTTTAAGGTTTAGGCTCGATTCAACACCGCCAGCACCACCAACAACTACAAAACCAAGATGCCACACAGAAACTCCACCCTAAACCCGTTGTGTACCCAAAGAACTGCAGCTTGGGAAGCACAGACGGCTCATGCTCCTTCACATAGGGTTTAGGGTTTAGGGTTTAGGGGTTTAGGGGTTTAGGGGTTTAGGGGTTTAGGGGTTTAGGGGTTTAGGGGTTTAGGGTTCAGGGTATCCTTCAGAGAGCAGTTCTCAGGCGAGAAGAGCGGCTTACGATCCTGGAGAGACTGCTCGTACGGACCCGGGCACAGGAGCAGCCTGCGTCCGGATACTGACTTTCTCCTCGGCTTTGCAGTATCGTGAAAAACGTGGGGATAGAGAGGCAATGGGGTCTTTGCAGCATGCAGAGAAAGACATGCAGGAGATACAGCGCGTCTGGCTACTCGGGGACCCTAAAGACGCCTGAGGCAGGCACATCGTATTTCTTGACTTCTTGTTTCCAGCCGCCTCTACCCTCAACCTCAAACCCTAAACC